CATCTGGTAATATTAAAACACTTTATATTAATTTCCAAAAAGCCGCAGGACCACTTTCCAAATACTTAAAGATTTACAAATACTTTTAATCAAATATTTATTTTGTTTTTTTTATAAGAGATCATGTACAGTATTGATTCATTTGTTGTTTAGTTGCATGTGTAGATTACTTGGGTTTTTACTTGGATATAGTATGAATTTTATATAGCTTTAAATATTAGGACTAAACTTTGTTAGGAAACCATTGTTACATTCTATACTTGTTTTATATTATATTATAAGTAAGTATAAGTATTTTAATTTGAATGCAATATTAAGTCTTTAATTGTGAAATTATGTTTTCTAATTTGATTCAATTTTAGGGAAGCAATGGAAAGCATGGAAAAGATGGAGAGAAAGGTGACAAAGGAGATATTGGACTTCAAGGCATGAAGGGCAATCAGGTATTTTAAAACAAAACAAGTAATAGAACTGGATATAATGTTTAGATTAACACTTTATTGCAATGTGAGTTTGGATTTAAAAGTGGAGCCTCAGAATTTGAGTCAAGTTTCTTTAAATATTTTATGTAAAAATTTGGTGTGTATTTGATTCAAATGTTTTTCACAGGGTGATCCTGGAGAACCTGGCTTACCAGGAGAAAGAGGAGAAAAAGGAGAAAAGGTTTGGACATTCATCATTTCTTTCTGTTGTCCAATTTATTGTTTTCTCTATTCTGATTTGCCGTAAATGTGTTTCCTCCTTCTTCAGGGTTTCAGGGGTTTTCATGGACGCACTGGTAGTCCCGGTCTAGATGGTGAAAAGGTTATCCCTATGTTGGAATCTCTTTAATTAATTTCATCACATATAATCCTATCTGCAATTCTTAGCAAAGCAGATTTTTTTGCTTTTGAACATTTTCACATATTTTAGAAAATACTTTTAGAAATTTTGAGATGGTATGTTTTGGGACAAAACCTATTAGAATATTTATTTTTTGAAACAAAAAACTGAGTCATGTTTTTCTCTAAGCAAAACAAAATTGTCACTTTTTCTTATTCTTTTCTCTCACTGTGCAATAACACATGCCAACTACTGTGTAGCCTGTTTAATTTTTTTTACTTATTAATAAGGTCAGTACATCTCTGCAGTACAAGTCCAATAATCCAAGTCAACTGCTTTGTAGTCTTTCCTTAGCTCTCTACTGTGCAGATATTATTATATCTAAGGGAAACATAATTCAGGACATTACAACTTTTTTTAATGCTTTTTTGGTACTACACTGCCT